TTTTAGAATATTTTAGAATGTTCCAGGGATTTCTAGGGTTTTATATTTTATTATAAATAACCTTCTTAAGCCTCCTATTGTATTCATTTATTGATGAATTAATTAATCGAAAGATTTAAAGAGGTTTTGTTAAACCACTGTGAAGAGTATTCACGACCCTAAGAGCTTTTGCGAAAATCCTGAGAGGAGGACTCTCAGACCCTAGTTTCCGGGTATTCTCAGAATCAATAGATCTAGTTCTATCCCATGAAACTTCCGCTCCATTAATTTAGGATCGCATACCATCAAATTTCTAATGTTCAAACCAAAATTATGAAGGCCTCGGTTAACCAATTCTGCAAATTTAGGTTTCTGGTGCCACATTAACGGATCATGGATGAAAAATGACAAATTTGCAGTTATAGGATGGCATTTCGATCGAAGTAACGACAATGGGATATGGGTGGTGCGGGAGCTGGAAACCTTTGAATGAGCTTCTCTCATTTACACGCAGAACTAGTGAAGATAGTGTCTTCACCCAATCATTAACCTTCTTTAACTAGACATCTTTTCGCAAGTTTTAGCATTGCATACACTTTAAGACCAAACAAGAGGAAGGCAGACAAGCTTGCCGGACGCGTTCGAATTTTACCTTAGGGTACTACATATGTAAATTTTGTTTTCCGGTATGGACCACTATCATGAGCACTTGTTGGTCCGCGTTAGTGACACAAGGTGGAGATAGGAGGCGTCACATTTGCATGTCATGTTGCCTATCTCGTAGGAAGGAACGACAAAGTAAATCGATTTCGTTTTACAAGTCTGACAAGAACGAAAAAACCTCATTATGGAAACATAAGTCAGGATTAATCCCCTTAGAATACCTAGATAGGAAGGACTCACTAAGGGGGTAGCAAGGCTTAATGTGTAAAAAATCGGACTATCTCGTTTGCTAGCTCGAAAATACTTTTTAGTGAATTTGCCTTCACCTTTGTAGCTGCAACCGTCCTCTCCTCCCTCATAAAGCGAGACTAGCTCTAGCTCAAAGATCGCCAGCATGAAAACTTTCCACCTCTGGAAGTTATCTCGCGTAAGTTGGACAAGGATTGCATTGTCCACCGTGAATGAAACGTTTTTTTTAGTAACCCATTATGGACGACAGCCACTATACGACGAAGAGTTTCCTGGAGCAAGGTTGGGATATGGAGCAGCGAGGCGATTGACGACCCTCGTCCCTGAAAGGACAAGTCATAAACCAAGTGGAGCAAAAGAAAAAATTATTTCTTAATTGTTGCGATAATGCTCACAAGAAATAACCACAAAAATAAGAAAGAACTAACAACGGTGGGAGTCAGGAGAGGAGAAGAATTCTTCAAGAAATAGAGTAACCAAGGCGGGGTCGACGTGTTTCTAAACAAGCTAAAGGTGAGATTGCGCCTAGTGGCCATAAAAGAGTTCTATGGGATACTACTGAGCGAGCTCCGTTGACTGTCACAGAAGAAAGCAGAAATCCAATGGTACGATACAGAGAAATGATGGCCAGAAAAGTCCAGGTATTGAGCCGCCCCATTCAAAGAAAGACTCAGAAGAAAGAAATAAAACTTAAGCTCAAAAGAAAATGGAATAAGTTAACCGATTCAACTGAAAACATGCGAGAAGAAAGAATTAGGGATTTTAGTTGCATTTCATACATTTGCATAGTCCTACATGCGAGAAGAAAGAATTAGAAATTTTAGTTACATTTCGTACATTTGCATAGTCTTTGAATCTTTTTAGATGTCGTGTCAGGACTTGTAGAGGTCCGAGACGAACTAAAAAAATGGGGCCTTTTTAATATATTTTTTTCTAACAGTAATTTG